TTTCAGGTAACCTGTTGGTGGCTTGGATTGATAATTTATATATATATATACACATATAAATCACCCCCTCGATTCGGCTCCAAGCCACCGGTCTCAGAGGGAAGCTAAAGCTTGGGACGTCCCAAGCGGTGCGTCGGTGTGGATCCCGCGCGAGGCTACGTCTTGCTGGGCATGGGCCTTCTGTGGCTCCTCCTCGTTGTGTGCCTCCGCGCCTGGACATCGAATGTGTTTGAAAGCTTGTTCAGGGGAAGAGGCGGCGAGCCAATCCATAAAAAGCTCCCACCTAGAAAGCCAAGTTGCTGCCTCTTTTTTGAGTCACTGTTGCTGGTTTTTTGGGGCAGAGTGGATGGGCAAAAGCAGCAACTGGCGATCCGGGCGGTGCTTTAAAGAGAACTTAGTTCGACATGTGTTTTTTGGCACGGCAGCCTCTAACTCATTGTGTGGTTCTCGCCGGGTCACTTCCACAGCTGACACCGGCAATGGCCTCGAGGCTCTGAAGGGGGGATTCCTTGGTGGATGATGTGGCGAGAAGCTACCCGGTTTCCTACACCGGAAATCTTCAAAAGACATGGCTTCCATTTGCTTAATGAACGAAGTGGTATGTTCCCCTGTTGGTTTTACAGGAAATCTATCACAGCACGTATTCTTGTTACTGGCAATAGGGAAATGGATGTGTGAAGGGAATGTCCTTAGGAAAGAGCCATGGTGACTCATGCCCGCGGCATGTTGAAACCCATGCCAGGGGCCTCCGCATGGTAAACATCGCTGGGAAGTCCAAGAATCCTATGGAACCTGAATACGTGTTTGCTTTGTGAGACACACACACACATATATATATATATAATATGTGTGTGTGTGCCCTTTTATGCATATATATATAGTGTAGGTATATGCATATGTATACCATTGCATTGCCATATGTTAGTGAGTATGTCCCAGTCGTTCAGTTGCACCCCCTTTGCACTTGCTTGGGTTTTCGGACTGAAAGTGAATGGGCCCCGAGGGTTCCCTTAAGGTCACTGGGCAAGATGTGTATCTCCCTGCCAGACGAACATTGAAAAGACTTGGTTCCATTTTGAGAGGCCTCTAGGAGCTTCCATGTTAGCCTGACATGGTTGTTGTTGGGACACATTTTGTATTTTTGCTTATTGTGGTTTAGCATTTGAAATCCCAACTGAACTGCTAACATTCAAAATTTTGCTCCCCTTCCAACGTCAACCGGGCTGAGGGAGGGCATGCTGAGTTACCAGCTCATGTTCGTCATGGTCGTCCGGCCCCCTTCGCACGGACATGCTTCTTCAAGCCGAGGCAACCGAATCCGGCTGGCCATCGCCGTTGCCTCAGAGATTTGGTGTCTATCTTCCATTTGCTGAAGTGAGTATGTTTTATTGTTCACCGTTGGTTTTTTTGGGGGGATGTATCACTACTGGACTGGTTTTCTTTTTTGGTTCCAGGGGTCTTAAGCAAATGGAAGCCTCCGCAGAAGAACCATCCCCGTCTTAGTTTCCTTTAAGGGAATCCCAAAACGGTTCATTTCCACATTTCCCGTAAGGTAAATACCCCTTGGACCCTGTGAGTTCCCTTCAAAGTCATGTCTTAGGGAATGTGCTGATGCGCTTGCGCCTGCCTAGTGTGCAAGGATCGATCCCCGCTCATACATGAGGATCGCAGCGAAGGTTGCACATGTGTGTTATGATTTCTTCTGGACTTGCCAGCAACCCAAGCAATCTGTTCAGAAGTTCCACACGCACATCTATATACACAAAGCGACATACTTGTTTGCACTTATTCGCGTAAATATACATACATATCGGAACATATATGCATGAAGTTACATACATACACACATATTTGCATGTATGTGTATACACATGTATATGTATACATACAGTTACATACATACACAACATCTACCTGTATAAATGTATATGTACACACATATGTATATATGACATATGTATGTGTATGTATATGTACATACATATATATATATATATATATGTATACATGTGACGCAGTAGGTTTGGTTTGGATCTGCAGGGGTTTAGGGTGTGGAGCTGCTTAAGGCGATCAATGAGGTGGCTGCCCAGTTCGTGGCGCACCACCCCTATGCGAGCCTCAGCTGATTTTTGGAACACGCCGGCGATTGTTTTTCTCCTAATCTTCCCTTTGGTTAAGATTTTGCGTTTTTCCCCTGTCGGTTTTAAAGGGAATCTATCACTACTGGGAATATGTTTATTTTTTTGCAGGGGACTTTGCAAGTGGAGGTAATAGGAACCCTGGATTCATAAGCCCCTGGTTGATTAAAAGGGGAAATATTAGGTTTGCTAAAGATTGTCTGTTTTGTTTGAGTTCTTTTCAGTTGGGATTCGGAGGAAAACACCCCCATTAGTAGGACGGTTTCATGAATCCGATTACACCAAACCCACACAGGGCCGTCGCAACGGTTGATTGCGAAGGCTTGAAAGTAGATGGCACAGTTCCCTATAAAGGGGATGACTAATCCAAAACAGGACAGATTGGCCATCTTCTTTCAGCCAACTGCAATGCCTTCACAAGTCCTAGAAACAAAGTTGGTCACAAGAAGGCGCTGACCCGAAGTGCTCTTTGCCGATGGCCCTTCAATCATGGAGAAGCAATGATCATGTGCCCGTAAATGGCACCCTTTGCAAAGGGCACTCTCACTAACTGATCCTCCGGCCTCCTTATCCAAGGATAGCTCCTTGCGGTGTGCCATGGTCAGGTCTTCAAATGGTGCAATTGGCCCCAAGGAGACGTGTGAGGTCCCCAAGATTGGCGGCGGTTCATGGTATTGAGGACGAAGCAGGTGGATTTCGATTTTGGGTGTGCTTCACTGGGGAGGGACGCCTCAATCCGCAAGTTTCCACCCGGCCAGCAAATTAATCTGGGGGAAATCTGCACGAGCGCCCTGCTTCCTTTTTTTGGTAGGGCTTCCCTTTGAGTCGTTGAGTGCTCAAGTGCCATAGGTTGCCCAATCTTTTTCCCCATGCAGATTTGGGGCTTGTGCCGAGGGACTTTTCCCGTAAAGCAGCTGGCACCCAGCAACTGCTTTTTGGTTGCCGCACGTGGGATTTTTGATATGAAAAAAACAATGTTTTGAAACAAGCAGTTTTTTTTTTCTCGGGGGTGACTTTTATAATTTTCTTTACCACCGATTTAATCACTGTAACGGCGTTTTTGATAGCACTCGATCGTCCAATTGCTAAAGAAGATTTGTTTATTTCGCCCTGTTGGCTCTAAAGGGAAACGATCTCTGGAAATATGTCTATTTGTTCCTGAGGACTCACTCCAACGGAGGATATATATATATATATCTATATACATATGCGTGTGTATGTAGCTCTGATTCATATGTGGTTATGTCTCTTTAGGGGAATCTGTCACTGGACATCTGTTTCATTCCTGAGGACTTCATCAGAAATGGAGGCTCGGCCCATGTAATTAGGGCGTTTTCAGTTTCTCTTTTTGTCTCCCGGTGGCTTGCTGAGGATCTTGGTGCCCTTTCTGCAGCTCGTGCTTCTTCTGGGCCTCTTTTGTGGCTGGGCCGTGCTTGCGGGCTTCATCCTGTCCCGGGTGCCGGTTGGCCATGTTCCCAGCCAGGCGGGAGGGAGGAGTTTTCGGGCGAAAGCTGAAACCCAAAAGCTGAATGTTGACCCCATATGCAAAATCAACCAACCAGTTTATTTCTCCCTGGGTGAAATGTGGGGAATCTGACTACTTTTGGAGGGGAACACCTCCCAATAAACTGGGCTTGATGAATATGGACCAGGGTGGGACCGAACCCAAAGACCCTCCCCAAGGGTTAGGGTTCAGCAGCCTGGTTGGGTTCAGGGTTTCCGACATTTCCCTTTTTGGCGCCTCCAAAAAAGCCAGTAAATTGTGACTTTTGCAGTGGAAATCCAGTGACTCCTGTGGACGTTATGCTTGCTTGTGTGGCCATTTAATGGTCAAACACTGCAGATTTTACTCTGGTCTATCCACTCAAGTGAGCACTTATGTAGTGGCTTGAAACCTTCTGCTGGCCGGAACTTGTTACGGGCAGCCAACTCAGAAGGTCAGTAACAGGACATTTTCCCTGGTTGATGATGGTGATCATCATCATCATCATCATCATCATCATCATCATCATCAATCTGCAAACCTACCAAGGAATCCCAGAAACGAGCTTCAGGCAGCCAATCACCAACCCAAATACCAAGGTGTTTGCTCGCATTCGTGATCCACCGTTTCTCGATGGCTCTTAGCACGGTGGGCTAATGTGAGTGCCCAACTTTGGGCCTTCGATGTGTGAATTTCCCAAGAAGAGGTTCCTGGGCGAGTTGTTCTTGGCCAGCAAGTCACAAATGAAGTTCTAAGCACATCCCAGAACTTGGCAGGTAGATTCCTGGCAAATAGACGGCAATTATGCACTTTCCTCTGGATTTGCCACGGTTCGCATGTGGTGCGTGAGTGTGTGTGGGGGAAGGGGGGTGGGAGTGGGCGGAATCATCCCGAGGCTATTTTTCTACAGGTGGATCCGCCCCAACGGTGCTATCCATGCCCTTTGACCTTTTAGGACGATCTCTCAACAAAAGGGACCGTACCCTCCAAAGGTTGGTGGCTTAGGCATTGGAAAATTTTACCGCTTGGGGAAGATGTTTGGAGAGAAGAGGATGTTTGAATAGATTTTTGCCAGGCCTAAAAGGCAAACTGAGGCATTGGAAAATTTTAGCGCTTGGGGAAGATGTTTGGAGAGAAGGTGGGAGGATGTTTGAATAGATTTGTGCCGCGCGCCCCCAGCCCCAGCTGTTCAGCGGCACTCTAAGTCCCTTTTGGTTTGGTGCCGAAAATCTAGGGGTTGAGTCCTTTTCCATTCTTTTTAACCATTGTTTTTTTCAAACACCAGCTGTTTTTCCTGGGGTTCTGATGGTTTTCTGGAAAGAAGGATCCTTGCACAGAATGGGGAAGTGCCCCCCAGAGAAAAGGATTCCCTTGCTCCCGTCGCTGGGCAACTCGGCACCTGGCCACCCAAACGCCGCAGCCTCAAATCATCTCACAGGCCTTTACCGAAGCCGCTGCGGCTGGCAACGCCACCGCCCCCGGCGCCTGCAACGATCGCTGGCCGCCAGGCGTGTTTTTCTTTTGTGTTGTCGTTGTCTTTGTTGACTCTCCAAGATGTACATTGCTTTTTTTTTGTTTTGTGTGTTTGTTTTTTTGGTCACGGGTTGGGAACCACCTTCTCTTGTTCTGCTTTCCGTTGTGCCCTTTTTTTCGCCGGCGTTGTCATTGCTGCGGCGCTGTTCTCCGGCACCCCTTGCTGGTTGGATAGAGTTCACAGACAAGTAGGGCCAGACTTGGACCCCAAGTCCAAAAGTGTCACTTCTCTCCAGGGGACACTTCCCCATTCTTTCCAGGGATCCAACCACCAGAACCCCAGGCGAATCAGCTGGTTTTTATAAGAACGATGGTTGAAAAGAATGGAACAGTAATCAGCCCCTAGAACCTTGACGACTCTGGACAAGTCAAAATCTTGAGGAGCAAAGTGGGAGGGGGGGAAATCACTTGTAATTATGCAAATGGGTTGGTTTGCTCAGAAAACCCAGTGGATCGTTGTGATGCCAAACGACGAGTTATAGAGAAGTTTCTCCCACAACTGCGCTCAGGGTCGGCTTCCCCTTACTTTATTGCTTGGGTGGTTTGATTTCCTGATTGGCCTCTATGTGCAAGAGCCAGGGGTTCATGTTGCGGTCAATTTCCACCTACTTAACAAGGGGCAGTACTACTTTTGAGTTGCCTTTGTAGGATCCATTTATTTCCAGGAGGTGATCCAGACCAATAGCTCTATTTAGCTTATGTGGTGTCACATGACTTAGGCAAGGGGTACTCTTGCCTAAGTGTGTTTTGAACTTGTCCTTTTTTCTCGAAGAAAGATACCATGATGACGATGGACCCATTGTTTTGATTCTTGGTTGGATTCGTAAAGGGAAGCTGGCAATGGCACCAAACACTGGAGCCAACAGGCGGGAACACACTGATTGGGGTCAGGGACAACACACGCTAGGGGATCCTGATTTAGTGCCGCATGACTCTGTAGGGGGCTTGGCGAATTGTTCTGGCATGCGAAGGTTTTGAATTTTGAGGCAAGATGACCCCGACCAACCAACCGATGTTTGGTTGGCTTCACTTTCTGACTTCCCTTTTAACCCAACAACCAAAGGGGGTTGCCCGGTTGACTGTTCAGGGGACAAGCGTTTGCATCGTCAGGCTTCGCCTACGAAGATGTGGCCAACTGTCAGCTGGACAATGCCACAGGGCAGGAGCTGTGCAGCTCGGTCAGATGTTTCACGGGGTTCGTTCAACCCCGGGTCAGCCACTTGCTCAACACCCGGGTAGATCCCCAGTAGTGCCCTTTTACCCTTTTTTGGGGGAGGGTTGCCCGACTACAGGAAAAAGGGTACCCATATTCTAACCTCTCTACTGGAGGACCTAGTCAATATTAGCAGGGGCTGGTTTTCCGCCTTTTCATTCTGAACACATTGGTGTGGGGTTCAGTACCAAGTTTTGATGATGACTCAGGCTCTGGGCAAACTAAAGTTCCTGGGCACCTGCCTTGTTGTGTTTCGCGACGCCAGGCTCCTTTTAAAAGGTTCCCTTGCGTTCTGTCTGTGAATTTTCAGGCCCTGATTATTTGATTACCCCACGGATCCGTGTGTTCCCCTTTAAGGGAACTCATGAGTTGAAGTCTGGCCAATAGATGACTTTTGGGCTTCTGCCCTTTGAGGGCCACATGGCTGAGCCCACAAGCCACCCTAAAGATCAAGCATACGCAGATAAAGAAAATTCCAGAGTTCCTGGACTTTAAGCTTTTGGGACGAGCATTTTGGCGGGAAATAGTTCAGATGTTTGTTTGGCCACCCCTCAGGAAGTGAGGAAGCTCTACACCAAGCCTCAAGCCTAAACAAACCCTGAACCAGCCCCAAACCCACCCCTGAACCAACTGCAAGCTGCCATAACCAACTCTACCCCGACTAAAAAAAAACAAGCCTAAACCCTAAAGCCCTAAAACACTAGGCAACGGCTTTGTTTGATCCTCCAGACGCCCCCGCTGTTTCCCAAGCCCTTGGGCCCACAAGTCTCGATCCCTTTCGAGCGCTCGGGACAGACGACGGCTCCAGGCGAGGAAGACGCAGACGTTGGCCACCGCTGGTTGAAACCTGCAGATTTTTATTTTTTTTCGGGGGGAAAGGACCTCATTCGCAGAACGATCCTTCTCCTAGGAGACCTTTACAGGGGGGGGGTCTTGTTGGTCTTTTAAAGGTCTAGGGCCTCTCGTTTAGGGTCTAGGGTCTAGGGTCTAGAGTGGGTCTAGGGTTTAGGGTCTACAGGGTTTAAGCTAAGGAGGGTCGTGTAGGGTAGGGAGGAAAGAACCTCATTCCTTCTCTTAGGGGACCTTTACAGGGGGGGCGGAGGCTTTTTTTACCTTCTGCGCTGGAGACATGCCATAGGCAGGTCCCCGCTTTTGAAGGTGTTTTTTCGCTTCGCTGGGAACCCAAGCGCCGGAAGGGGAACGGGTCCTGATCACGCACAGCACGGCTCACGGGTCCCAAGTTGCACTCATCAAGCTGGGTGGTTCTCAAGCTGAAAGGTTTTAGGTTTTAGGGGGAAAGTGGTTGGGTTTAAATCGGAAACGCAGAGCTCAAAGTGTTTCAACATTTGCGCGAAAACGGACCGCCCAGTACAAAATGGCCAGATATGAATCTGCGAGCTGCAACTCTTCAAAAAATATATGCGCCGCTTGAATCGAGTTGCAGCACATCAATCGACTTGGGAAATCATATTTGTTCTATCTAAAAAGCAAGGTTCAATTGAAATTGATCCTTGCGTCTTTGGAAAAAAGAAGAAAAAACAACTACATTTGGTTTTGTTCTTCATTGCAGAAAAAAGGCATGGTGCTCATGAGGATCTTTTGATTTGAGGTGTTGGACTTACTTCATTCAGCTTGGTGGCTCTCAGCCATCCCTTAGTTTTTTAGCTTTTTGGGGTTTAGTGGGGGTTTCCATTTAACCCACCAAAGCTTGACTGCCATTGGGTTGGATCTTTAGACTTTAACTTTTGGGGAAATCAAGGCGTTTCCCACTAAACCAGCAACAAGTTAGCCTTTTTGCAGGGGGGTCAACAGCAACCAAGAAAGGACAGCCCAGTCAGATGAATCCATGGAGTTTGTCCAACCCAGGCAAGTGGCAGCTCTGTTCTTTCTGAGGCTGGCGTTGTGCCCCGCCCCGCTTTGCGCTGGACTGGCGCTTCGCATATGCCCCTCCGATGTGCAAGCCGATGGGTTCCGCAATGCAGATGCTTCAAACGAACGGCCCAGAGTACTCCTTTAGAAAACGCACACATGCGCGCACGCCCGGAATGCGTCTATTGCCGGGTTAGCCCTGGGTAGCTGCATTGCGGCTGGGGGAAAAGCCCAAAGGGCTGTTCGCAGTTGGGCCGTGTTTTTTTTTGGTGTTTAGGCAAGCTCTCAGCAGGTCACAAAGTCGCATGAAGCCGCAGAAACTGGACGCACGACAGTTGGATTAGCGTGAAGCTTTGTAAGGGCCGGGTTGGTCCAAGGTGATTCAAAGGCACATTGGTGTCCGTTTTAGGTTAGTTTGGTTAAGCATAGATGGCACTGGTTTAGATGGGGTTTATTCCATGTACCAGGGCCATCTATTTTTCCAAAGGCCACCTATGCAAAGGCATGTTGAAACCAACCTGTCGGTCAGCCAGCCATACGTCCGAGCATGGCAATCGAAAGAAGCACCCGCAGAGTCGGCATGGCCTGCAAGGGGCACGCTTTCCAGCAGCCACATATTTTCCACATCTATCGGCTGCCAATTCCGGCTGGCGAGCGCCCATTGCCAATAATGCCAAGGAGCTCATACAACCGTGTTTATTTCTTTTTTTGGGGGTTGTTTACAGGGGACACCAACAAAAAAAAGCCACCTGTTTAGTTTTTTTTTTGGGGGGGGGCATCCGTGTGGCGGGATCCTTGGCTGGGGATAGCCCAGTCGTCCAAAGTGAATCGACCAGATCTGAGCTTTAAGTCTTACCGTTTCGGGTTCCCATTTTGTGGTGGCCCCAACAGGTCAGTTCAGGGGCAACTGAGTTCATCCACAGTTTATTCCCGCAATATCACGAGCAGTGCGCCGAAAAACAACCAAGCCAGAAATAAGGGAAACCCCAATTCAGGGATCTTCATGGGTGAGCTCGTGTCAGGTGGGAAGCAAAGCACGTTTGGGGCATCCGTTGATTCCCCTGGCGCATGGCCGGCAAAAGCTAACGCGAGGCGTTCTTCTCCTTGCTTTGGAACAACGCCCTGCTGGCCGCCATTGCACAGTGCATCTGGGCTCAACAAATGGTTTTGCTTTGTGTTTGCCCAGTTTGGACCCCTGCGGGGGCTGGTTTGCTTTACCATCCCACCCATTTGTTTCAGGGGATTGGCTCATTTGCATCCAATGAGCATCCCTCATTTCCCCCCATTTGCGTCTACAATCCCACCCATTTTCCAAGGGGATTGGCTCATTTGTTGAAGAGAAGGATCCTTGGAGGGGCACAATCCCCAAGAAGCTAGTTGAGAAAATCCAGATATGGATGAATCCCTAACCCGGGGTAAGCCCCATCAGAAACCATGATGCTAGATAAGATTCACGGCTGAACATTGACCACCGGGATCTTGCTGAAGGCCTATGGGCCCCGAGGCTATTGCGGTTCCTGGGATGCGGTGTTCTTGATTGGAAACTCGCCCCACAGCGCCATCTCTTTTGGCCGGGTCTTGTGATAGGGGGAGGGTACAGTTGCTTTCTCGGGGCTTGTGATTCCGTCAGGGGGTGTCGCCTTTTTTTGTCCACGGGAAACCCCTTCTTGGGCTTGGGGGTACATGGAACACTAAAATCGAGAATGTGAACTTCGGATCAACCAAACCCTTTCGCACACCCGCATCAGCTGGGCATGGATTCATTTTGGGATCATTTCTGAAAGCCGCAATAGACACTTACTTTGCCCCAGTCATTGACTCACCCAACCGCGGCATTCGCTCGCGGCAACTTGCCAATGGGTCAGCACGATGAAGAGCGAGCCCATACCTTTCTCCTTTTCATTCTCTACTGTTAGGACTCTCTCTCTCTCTCTCTCTCTCTCTCTTTTTCTTTCTTTCTTTCTCTTTTTTGTTTTTCTCTCTCTCTCTCACTTTCACGCTTTCATTTCAAGTCTTGGAGAGAGAGATGGTGAGAGACAGGAAAAGGAATGGAGAAGTGACCACGAGACTTATCATTTGAGCAGGTGAACCGGATGTGAATCTCGAGCGGAACGGAGCCCGCTCCTTTCAGCCGACCTGTCTGTCAATTGAACTATGTCCTTCCATTTGCTTAAGATTTGTTTGTATTTTTATTTTTAAACAAAATTGTCCCCTGTTGGTTTTAAAGGGAATCTATCACTAGTTGTGTTTTTCCCCCATTGGTCTCAACCAAATGGAAGTGTTTGATGCACAAATCCGTGGCGAGGGACAAGGATGAGATGGAAAGGGACGGGACATACTGTGGACGAAATCCATTTCGCACCACTTAAGAAACCATGGAATGATTCGACCCCCCTACCAACAAACAGTGGTTTCACATTGTTTTTTGGGTGGTGCAGGATTTTGGTCCATCCACAGTACTACATTTCCCCGAAATAAGCCTCGTCTACATTGTTTAACCACCTGAGAGATTCCAAAAGTAATTAGGCCAACCATCCGGACGAGAGAAGCGAGTGGCCATCACTTTCACTCGCATCGCAAGCTTACTAAGGGTGATGGCAGAGATGCTGAACAGGGATGACTTCAGACAAGAAAAACACATTAATCTTAATGGAAAGAGAAAGAGACCTGCCATTCGCTCACCATTTTTCCCTTGTCCCACCTATGGGTCTCTTGACAAGGTACGACGGCGGGCAAGAGATAGTGAGATAGGAAGGAGGGAGACAGAATACACCTCTCTCTTCATCACTGTTCACTCTTGCATAGAAGCTTTGACATGGAAGGGGAAATAATGAACAGAGATAAGAGATAAGAGATGGTGAAGCTATGTCTCTCCCTTAGTTCGTTTACCGGCATGCGATTCCAAGAGTTGACAGGAGAGAGGGATGTGAGAGAGGTTCGGTTCGCTTCTAATGTCTCACTGGCCTCTTTCCAATCTCTCACCATCGCTTCCCAGATGCCTTTCCATCACAGTCTAATTAGCCTTGGAATCCTGCGTGCTTGGGTTCCCCTCGAAACATTGAGTCAGCACCTAAGAGAAATGCGTCCCGTTTCTGCAGAAGAGTTTGCGGGTGCTCAGCAGGGAATGAGGGAATGACCCTTATAAATCGTATAAACCATCCCTTGTGGTTTCCTTTCAGGGGACCCCTGGGTTCACTCCCTTCCTTCCCTACTTATCGCACCAGCAAGTGTTTTCCACTTGCAACTGGGGTGAGGGCGCGGCCCCGTCAGACAGGCATCATTGCGGGCGCTGTGGGGGCCTGGTTCTTCACCGAGAAGGCGTCCAAAGGTTGGAAGTCGGTCATGTGCCCTGCGGTGGTGAATGCGATCTTTTGGCCCCTCGTCAGCATGCGGCTTGGAGTTAAAGGCCCCCTGGATGGTTGGAGTTCAAGGAGTGCTACTGGGTTCCCCTGATTAGAGGGCACCCCCCTCCTCCCCTCCCCCTAAGGTCGACAAGGGTTGGACAGATTGAACTGGAACTAGGAACCTGGAGAACCTCTTCGGTGACCTTCTTGGCCGCTTCTGGGCCAAAGAGCCCAAAATGGCCCTGATTCATTGAGGGGTTTTCTGTTTATGAGGAGGGTTTGGCTGCCAAGTGGGGTCCCCTTGTTGAGCCTGAACGCCTTGGGTAAGAAAAATGTGTTTTGGGAAGCACATTTTTTGGGGGTTTAATAGTGGCTCAATATCGGTGGGTTTAAGCGCAGACGAAGCAACTACTAAGCCAAAAGCCCTCTGCTCAAGCCTAGGCATGTGGGCTCACTGGCCTTTGGCTCGCTGATCCTGGCGATTGCGGCTTGCTCCAAGCTTCCGAGGTCTTCTTTCCAGAGAAATCCCACACGAAGACACTTCCTGAGGGGAATCAGAGTAACGTGGCTAGCTTTCTGCATGTAGGATGTATGGAATTTCCTTCTTAAATGGGAGGTTTCCAGGCGGCAAGATACATGTAGAGTGATCGTCCCAGTCAACTCTGGATACAGGTTGCATTTCTGCACTGGGCGTCACTTTGTTTTTTGCAGATGGTGCAGAAGCATTCACAAATCCCTTTGGAAGCTGGATCAGTGCTTTGCAAATTCCCCATTCCAAAGTCTATAACGCACATAATATGAGCAGGTGACAGTATTGCCACAAAAAACCGCCATAAAACTAACAGGAGCCCATTCTTAATATTGTCTGTTGCTTATTTCTTTACAGGTATAAACACTCATACACACATATATATAGCATATATATATATGTATATACGTACATGGGATATTATCGGCAACCAGCTCAGGAAATGCCAATGCCCTGAAGATCGAGATTTGGGGAATCTTGAGTGCTTCAACCGAAATCCTTCTCTTCCCAAGCAAACAATGTGAAAACCCGCCAAGCATCCCCATTTGGCAGCAAGTATGTAGGCCTCCTACATGTGAAGCGAGTTCGCCCTGAAGGTCTTTTGGGATTTCTTGTCTCTGACATGTGAGTAGACACGGAACCGGAGGGCGGATGCTCGGAGCGTCGGAGGGGGCCTCTCCGCACTCCAAGGTTCAATTCTTGAAGTGGATGATGCGCTACTCGGCTTTTCCCAGATGTTGCGTGAATGATTCAATGGCAAGGGCTGTGGAAGTTTGTCGAGCTTGCCTGCGGTCTATGGTGAGTTGGAGGTTAAGGATATGGGCTCAGTTTCCAGGTCCTTGCGGGGCACAATGTGTTCCTCGCATCAGGCTGAACATTGTTTCGGCCGTAGCCAGGGTGTTGGAGGTGAGTGAACCCTGGCCACTGGCATGACGTTCTCGACTGTGCCGTGTTGCGGCCTAAACCCTGGCTTATGTTGATCTAGGTGCGACTGGGTGAGGGTTCGATGAACATCGTCCAGGTGGGTGAAAATATGTCCCGATCTGGGGATCCCTTCTCATGATGGATGCCAGGGGCCAGTGTCAAAACGAACATCTTTGCCACTTGATGGGGGGGATATTTCGGGATCTGGAAAAGCTGGTGGGAATTCGTGGGATGTATCCTTCCTTGGTTGCATTTTGCTTGGCTGGTAGGACTTTAACTTTTTGCCAACTCATGGGTTTTCCGTATTAAACCACTAAAAGTTACGCTTTTAGCAGGGTGCAGAAAGCCACCGAGCTTCAAGGATCCTTCGTCTTGGGCTTCTGGGACCCAGCTGAAAGAAAGAGCCGCCAGTTATTGACCGGTTCCTTGCAGATCCCCAAGGTCCGATTTGTGTGATACACGAGGTCGTTTTTCGGTGGACCCAAAAGGATCGTTGGTGTTTTGGTTGGGTCTCCCGGATAAAACCACCAAAAAGGGGTACCCTCGCAGAAAGACACACTTGAACATGGTTTCAACTCAAGCGCCGGTTTTTTTTCTTCTGCTCGGTTCACTCCTGCGGATCGTGGGGGGGTTCACCAATCCACAATCACATCCCAGGTTTCCTAGCGGAACAGGCCAAAGTGCGGAAGAACCGGGTGGCGCAGGCAGGGCGGATGTTTCGCCTTCGGTTCAAGCTTTCCGAAAGGATCACCTCCGAAGCGATGGCTTTTTTTGTATTTCAGGGTGGCCTGAATGGGTGTGTCTTTTTTAGGCGACACCCCCAAAATAGTGGTTTTGCTTTTGGTTCCCTCAAAGACCACTAAACGAGGGAGAGACCCAAATATGAACCATCTGGAAACAACTTATTTTTGATGTATTTTGTTGGCTTTTCTTGACCTTGAAACTCCAAAACTCCAATAGGAAGACTGCGGCTTCCAATCAACCCCCCCCCGAATGGATGAGGACTCTTCTGAGTCCTCTGCCAAGCTTTTGGCTTCGGTTGGGCTTCTGGTTTGTTCCTATCAGTTTTGTGCCTGGGGTGAACCGGGTTTCCGATTCGAACCTTGAAAAGTGGCGATGGTTTCAAAGGAAGCCACCAGTAAGTTGATTGGAAGGGGAAGTCCAGCGCCCCTGACCCCTCGACTTACAGAGTGCAAGAAGGGCCAGGGTCTGGCGAGTGAAACACATGTTTTTGTCCTAGCCATAATGCTTGCAGTGTTGGTTTGATTGCACTAAGCTCACTGCTTGGCTTCTGTGTTCTTCACGGCTTCCCTTGGTGACCTCTCTTGCAGTCCAGCAGCGACTGCGCTCGAGTCATCTTGAGGCCATCTTCAGGGCCGCTGCTTGCTGCCTTTGGTGCTTCGAGCACCCCGGAATTGAGTGCGTCGTTACGACCCATGGGGCGTGATGGTGGGAGACCCTGGCTTGGCCCTGCTGCGCCTGTGCCAGGGCTCCTGGACGTAGTTTTTGGGAGGGCCACTAGCGCGTGGCAAACAAAAGGTGCGGCCAATCCAGGAAGATTGCCGGATGAAGAGTTTCTCATCAGTCGATGAACCAGATTTGCCTTACTTCGAAGCGGGGATGCTTCGCTGTTGGGGGGAAAAAAGGGCCTTGGATCAATCTACGTCAGTACGTTACATGGTTACCACTGTGGGCCAATCCACCAGGATGTGAGCGGTATGAAGAACCCCTGGCTTGATGGGCTATGGTTACAAGTGGGACAACGGGGGTTGGTTTCCTTGCGATAAGTTGCTTTACTCGGTGGGTGTTAGTCGTCCAAGTTGCTTCCCTCCGGCCTTGCATAAGGAAGTGCCTCAAGTTCCTGAACAAGCTCCTTGGAGAGAAGTGCAGCTACCATTTGCTTAACATTATGTGTTATTTCCCCTGTTGGCTTTAACGGGAATCTATCACTACTGGACATACGATGGTTTTTGTTTTTCTTTGTTTGGTGGTGTCCATTAAATATATCCAGTTGGCTTTCTTTCTTTTTTATCACTGGGTACACGACACACACACATGGTTTAGCTGTGGGCGGCTTTGAGGTTGGTTTGGAGGTGGCGGCAAAACTTTCGTCCCCCTGTCGGCACGTGCCACTCTGGCAAGCCGGGCCGCCCGTGCCACTGCGCAGGCCGAGTTGTTTTTTTTGGGGGGAACCCCCTTTCGGGTTTAAAGGGAAGCCAAGTTTGGGGGGGTGCCCCCATTTTGAGATGCCACCCACCGTTTCACGGATCACCAGTTGGCAGCCCTAGTCCGTGACAACAGCTGGGAGTTGGGGCACGTTTCCCTTCTGCGCTTCCATGCTCTGAAGGGTCGTGATGTAATGGGGTCCCTTTCAGATGTTCAACCCTTAAGGCCTGAACTTGATATTCCAGTGCACTTCCCCCTATGCGAGTCTTCCCTCCATGCTAGTTGTAACAGGATGCTTTGGTGCACGGCCGTCCTGGTGAACCAAAGCTTGCTTTGAGTCCATAGTTGGCTTGGAGCCTCCCTCTTTTTGGCTCAGGGCCGGGGCTGCTTGAACAACGAGCCTCTGGGCCTCCTGAAAAGAATCAATTATGACTTAGTCATTTTTAAACCAGCAAATCTGTTCAAGCTACTTGCGACCGCCATGTTTTAAGCATGTTCCTGTTCGTTGTTGTTACTACTACTTGTGTTTCTCTCTTTTTGTTCCTTCTTTTCTTTCTTTTGTTTATTTTTTTTTGGGGGGGGGTAGTAACACAAATGAATCTCGGACCTCGGACACAGCGAGGCCAGAAAAACTGGGCCAACTGTCTGCATGGTGAGGAATGCTTACATCCAGATCGCGCTGAAAGGCACCGACTTCTGCACCTCAGCCGCTTGGACTTCAGAAATATTCTCAGCGGGGGATCTTCCCCCCGCCCCGTGGTGGATGGTTTGGGGGTCCCATGGGTTCCTACCCCCCCCCCCCTTCCCGCGCCCCCTGTGTGGGAATGGGGGTTGGGGTCAAAAGAAAGGCAGCACAGTCCCAAGAAGTCCAAAGACGTTGGGAAGAATAGTCTTTCTACAGTAGACCATACTTTGCCATATAGACCATACTTTGCCGAAGGGTGCGGGCACAGAATGGCAGGCCCGCTTGAAGGCAGTACTCAAAGTATCCTGGATGTACAAATTCCAACGGTCATGTTTGAGAGACAATGATTGCCGGGCCAGTTTGCAGCAGTCTTTGTCACTCGCGCCCATTTTTCGCACTATGTTGGGCTCAACGGCCCTACCGCTTCCTCGATGACCGATTCAGCCTGAAAGGCCAGGCACATGATGTTCCAACAGGTGCGCATCCTATATTGCATTTCTTTGCTGCCGCCAGGGAGCATCGCGATGCGCCACTTGAGAGATAACAGCCTATAGGCGGCATGTGGAACCTCATCTTTCTAAAGATGATGCTATGAACCAAGTCCTTTCCCAAAGCACCAAGCGTATGCGTGTTCATGTTGACCAGGCCTCAGCTTACTGACCTTCAATATCCATTTTCGTCGGTTACGAGAGCAAGCTTGCAGCGTCAGTCCTTGGCTTGCTTCCAATTCTCTTCAACTACTTCAACATTTTTGAGTTCAAGAGTCAGCATCGATCAAGGGTGGACTTGGGGCTTTGTGGATCGAAGAAAAGACCGGTTTACCCCAAAGGTGTGTTTGTGGGGGGTTCGGTACGACATCTCAAAATCTGCCAATCACTTTCCCACAACGTTTAACGCGCACAGACAATCGCCTCGTTAAGATGACACACTGTGCTTTGACTTGCCAAGCATCGTTTGAGCCATGCCATCCCGTCCTCGTCGAGAAAACAATGCTCCATCCGAGGATTCGCACCTCGGTTGCAAGGGTAAGGGCAGGCGGGCCGGCAGTACTGCGCAGGCATGCGCAAACAAAAAACTTTCAAGCATTAATGCAATAAAACAGGCTAGAGGCGGTGCATTTTAATTTGCCGCAGCAAATGTGACATGGCCTCGGTGTTTTTGTCATGCGCAAAAACCGCAAACTCAAAGACAAGCGTAAGTGGCCGAAGCACTCGAGCTTCAAGCAGACTCAGCATGCCAAGCAGCGTGGACCTTGGGGCGGATGATGAAGTGCCGCTTCATCATCCTTCATGCGTAGGGCGGGGCGCGTCAATTGCGTGCGTAGGCAAACCACGGCCACCAGTTGCGAGCGCGCCTAAATGACATGGCAGAGATGACCAAGTGGGTTTTGAGAAACCGTGTTCCTTCAGTCGAGAGCTCGTGAGCCTGGGAAGGAGTCCTTGCATAGGCACTAGAGGCCAAGGTCCATGCACAGCTAATGCATCCGACACAAAACGAAACACGCAACACTAAATCTTCACAAGATTCAAAAACCTAGGGCACCGTTCCATCAATCCAAAGAATCGCGTCAAGGCATTCCTCAGCAGGCATGCCACACGCCAAGAACCGCTTTTTCCTGGCAAAACCAAGTGCGTGAACCAACAGTCAACTAGCAAGCCCAATAGGACAAACAAAGAATACATTTAGCTCTGGTGCATCGCCACATGCATGAGCGGAATTCTCTCATCGTCCAAGGGTGGACGAGCTTGGCAGGCTTGGCCAAGCGCGTGCGATAGCCATTGTGTGATGCATCGGTTGTTGTATGCCTTGCCCGTCATCATAACTTCACCATCCTTCTTCAGGATCTCAGCGTCGCGCCGATTTACTGGAACGCGCGTCACGCGTCGAAGCGAGTGTGCAAATTGCGCGTCAACCGCTGCTACAGTAAACCACAGTTGCTACGGCAAATCTTCCTCTATGATTTACACGCGCTGTAGATGAGCATGAGCCATAGGGCCAGCCCCCCAAAACTGATAGGTTTCCACAAGGCCCCCGACCACAACTCAAGCAGAAACATAAGTGACAATTAACCACTTGTCCCTTTTTTGGGCTGTTCAAGGGTTGGGCGGTGAAACATTTTGTTGGTCACAAACCACAATGCGCATTCTCCACCTAAGGCAGCAAAGCGCAAGTACGACCACAACACCAACACACAAAAAGCTACCAAATAAAATCAAGCCACATCAAAACACACGCAAAGCAACGCAGACACAGAAGCACACACGAACACAAACGATCGCGCGTTTGCACGCATGTGTGTTTCCAAGTGGACGCGGCATGTGTGTTACATATGTGTGTAGGTGTTTGCAGCTGTGCGCGCGAGTGTGTGTGTGTGTATGTATTCACGCAGCGCTTGCTTGCATACATCTTATATCTGAGCGTCATGTGTGTGCACGTAGGTGCGTGCGTGTGTGTGTGTGTGTGTGTAGCGCGTCCGCGTGTTGATATTACTAGCGGCGCTTGTGCGCGCGTGTGTGTGTGTGTGGGTGTGTTTGCGCCCCGTGCTTGAAACAGTTTGCCGGCATCTGTGTGGGCGTGCGTGATTGTTTTCTGTTGCGTGCTTAGGGGCTTTGTGCGTGTTTGTGCTCGGGTGCGTGTGCGTGTCCGCGCGTGTTGCGTCTTGCAGTTTTCTACGCTTGTGCGTTCGTTTCCGCGCGTCTGTGTTTGTGTTTGCGTTTGTGCGTTCTGTGTGTGTAAGGCAAACGTATGCTGCTGTGTTGGTGAGTTTGTTGCACAAAAAACCCTGTGACAAACGCACACGAGAACACAAGGGCGCACTCAAGCGCCCGCGAAGCCATTTGACACGCAAACACAAAGTACACTCTCCAGGCGCACACACACTTTTCAGACGCGCACGCGCAGAAACACACCCCACACAAGCTCAAACACACGTATAATTACACACACTACACGCACGCGCGCGCATAAACCTGGGTGCGCTTTGCGCACACGCATGCAGCTGAGTCACCAGACGAACCGTAAAAGGAGGTTGGGAGCATGGTATGGCATTTGATTTGCAGAACACCTGGAAATCGGAGAAGGCATTGTCCAAAAGACTTTGCATTGGTGTATCTGGATGGCCCCACCACCCGCATTCTAGTAGCGCCATCCTTGGCTGCAAGAGGTCAAAAACTATATGCATGCACGAACATCAACATCATCTAAAAGGCATGGTGTGACTGCAATATTGTCTGCGTTTCTTTGGGATGGGGGCGGAGATTTAAAATAGCGTTTAGATATACTCGCTCGCTGAGATCAGACCTTGAGCGCTGGCAAGACCTAGGCTTTCTGAAGAAAAGGTTCCACACGCGCACCCACACACACACACGACACCTGTTCCTTGTTTTTTGCCACGGCGCAAGCTGGAGCCATTGGCACCATAGCACAACCCTAAATTTAGGGTGTGCATGCTGCAAAATTTCAGTAGGCCAGGATGGAAGCCTTTCACCAGGATCAAAGGGCCTCACAGTGTAGAACAATTTTTCACAAGCCTGGGAGGGAGAGCGGAATGAGCCAAAAAAAATTCAAAGCTCTAACGTTGTCAACGTTTCGAAGCCTAGTCACAAAGATCTCTATCTGGCATTTCGTGCGCGATGAATTGAGCAAGTGTGTATTGCTGCGCCCAGAACGGCGCAGTGTCGTCAATGTTGTAGTACTGTTCATGTAGCGGCCCACTTGCCATCGCAGGGCATTGAAAGCATACACCGTGGTTAGCCCCTCCCTTCCAAGAGCTTCGAAATCGGAATAGTTCCTTGTGATAGGCCCAATCCGCTCTCACTTCGACCAATGCGAATTTCTCTCCATTTTTGCAAATGCGCTGCCCGGCCAAGGATTTGGCGAGGCTATTGGTCAATGCCTCGCCTCTTGGCCCGCAGGATGGGTGAACACCATGAAACAGAATATTCAAGCTCCAAGCGATGTGGGTGTAAATTGCGCGCAAGGTGTGATGACGGTAAAGCAACTCTTCCTCCACTGCGCACAGTAGCCACCTGCTCGCCCTGCAGCTCCGCGGTCGCCACAAAGGGCAGTTCATCCAAATACCCACAATTTTTTGCACAGGTGCGAATGACACTTGCCGAACTCGTGCCCCATCCCCGTAGATACCTAGAGGTATATGATCATTTGACGCTGGATGCTCTACTGCCCAAGGAACGTTCAAATCCCTGAAATGCTTCCAATACTTGACGCAATCACCTTCGCGCAGGCGGACCCCAACAGTGTCCCACAAATACGCAATGAGGCTGTGCGGCTGTATCATAGGGATATCGCACATTTCGTAGCTGGACGCTGTCGGAGACGGTTTGAGCGGCGCCCTCACTGTCACAGTCTCCTGAACAATCTTGATGAAACGTTGTATTGTTCTTCGAATACAATTACCATACTTGATTGAGACAGGAAGTGTGCTTTTTGTGACCCACCCCTTTCAAACCTGAGCCAGGCAAAAAATGTAATTGTTGCAAGTCCGGCTTCAATTGGCACCTGGCAGAACCTGAAGAAGTCGCGGGCATTGTTCCACCTTGAATATGTCCCCAAGCGGCCGCTAAAGGGATGGCAGTGCATAGACCCGCTTTCCTGAGTGGACTGCACGACACTCGATCACAGGGACCAGACTTCTCAAGGAAAACGTAAACTACCACAGTGCAGCAAGGCGCGCCGTGTGAACCAAAAGCCAAGTTTCCTTGACATGTGCCCTCGCGTTCGCCACCACATTGCGAACACTGCTAACCTTGTTGCAGCTGCGCACGCGTTGCATGTTCAATCCGCATGACGCGTGCACGTGTGATAGGTCGGACACCGGCGCCCCAATCGGCAAGGCGCAGAAACAACTCCCAGGACTAATTATACTATTATTTGTGTCGCGTCAGCAGGTCTTCTTGACTTGGTCACGCCATGAGGGGGGCGGGAATCAAGCAGTATTAAGTGTCAAACTATCAACAACTACTATAGTTGGCCATTCTTTGTCACGCAACATTTCGCGCTTC